TTAAAAGTTTATATCTCCACAGCATAGAGAGCGACAGTGACATGGCCATTCACGCAGCCCTGAGCTTTCTGAAAGCAGCAGAAGTCCAAGGCCAAAGGTGTGTGCCGTTATGTTCTCTCCAGGAGCTACCTTAATCCAACAGCGAACCGCGTCCCTTCTTGGCAGTTACACTAATGGCTCAATATGTAATCAACTCTCAGATCAGTAAGTGGATTGGCAAGAGGCCAGGTAGGGGACTCCCACTCACTCCTCCTCAGGTGATTTGGTTTCCTTAGTTACAGCAACCGCTAGAGTATCCCAACACTAAGCCAATCACATAGCTCTCCACCTGATGAATACCAAATCTTCTTAGGATGGATTTACTCCCTAGACTCTTTAAAAATGCAAGGCAAGCTGAGTCTCCACCACTGCCGTGCACCATGACACTGCATGGACAGGTTTCATTTGTGTGAGCATCGTGCCAGGATGGCGCCAGGATGTCATGAGGTGTCAGAGGTACAGCATGGCGTGCTTGACACAGACCGGATCATCCAGTGGACAAGCCAGCCTACAGTCGCTCAGTGGCGTTGCTCGGCTGTGCCAGGTAGCCTAGGCTGAGAGACGGTGGCTAACCCAAACTCAACGACTAAGCTTCATGGCTGAATGGGACCCAGGACCCAGATGTCCCAACTCCCAGGCCAACACCCTCACCACCTTGGTGCCTGCCCCAGTCCATACAAAGCCCTATCTGGACTGGGATGAAGACCACTCTCTCCTCTCTGAGCCTATCCAAGTTTTGAGATCTTCAGAAAAGGCCCTTCGTTGGGTCCCACTGCCTTCAGAGCCATGTTTAGTGGCAACACAAGAGAGGGCCTTCTTGCTGTCTGCCCCTCAACTGTGGAACTCCCTCTTCTCCCAATTTCCCCTGGCAGGCAAAGACTTCTTCATGCTTTGGCATCTGGGTCAGTCTGCTGGCTTGGGTGAGGTTAAAGTTGCTTTTAAAAGCCGTTTCCAACGTGCTTGTTTTGGTATTGTATTAACCAAGTTCATACTTAATTTCTATGATCCTCAGCTGCTCTGAATGCCATGTCCTTTGCAGAAGGGGGAGGGGGTAAAAATCCCAGCAGACGAAGGGATGGACAGATTTACTTTGGTGCTTGGTTGTCTGTTGGGTGAACCAACGGAGAGCCGATCCACAGAACACCAAACGGTGCTCAGCCATTTCCTCCAGCTCTGTCCCTTCTCAGGGCTGTCACCTGCCAGCCACCCTCTGCAGCTGCACAATTGCCAAAAATCAAGACAACTCTACATGTGTCTGACGCTGGCTGGAGCCATATTTCGAGGCATGGGAGAGCTCCCAGATGCAAGATACCTTCACATCCTTTGAGATCCTCCTCATTCCTGCCCCCTCTCTCCTTCCTGCTGTTTCAATCAGTTTTGCTGCAGAGCCACTTGACTGAAATTTTGGTGTCCCTCAGCTTCCCTTTTCCCAACCCTAAGGCACCATCCTTTTACTATACTCCTGAACCCCGAAACTCAGAGGCTCACAGTCATCCTAGGCAGAGCAAGAAGAGCAATGGGGTTCATCTTCATCTCCCTATCTTCTTGCCTCACCTATTGCACCAGCCTTCCTTTTTCCCACCTAGCTGGAATATTCCAGAGGGGGAGAGAAAGAGGTTGGAGGCCTTTCTAGCCTCTTCTCCTCTCTGCCCACTGAAACATGTGCTTTTCCACCTCTCTGCAATTGCTTTCTTGACCTCAAAGAGCCACCAACATAATTCTTTCTCTGCCTGTTGTCAGGGGAAGGGGGTGAGAGGAACTTTTCTCAGCTCCAGCCTCAGATCTGGGAATCTAAATTATCTTAAGGTCTTTAGAAACTATCTGCAGGTCATAGGTTTGCTATCTACATTTAGCCTGTCCCAAACTCTGAGTTATTTTTCCAAGTTAGAGTCAGTGCCAATTGTTAGAGTCAGCACAGCGTAGGACCACAAGGTTGGTGGCCGGTTTGCAGGGGATGCCGTATGAGGCGAGACTGAGGGAACTGGGTCTCTTCAGCCTGGAGAAGAGGAGACTCGGAGGGGATCTGTTGGTGACATACAGGTGTGTGAGTGGGTGTCACACGGAGGTGGGTAGAGACCTGTTCTCCCCTGCAGAGGAGGGCAGAACGCGCTCCAATGGAGCAAAGCTCAGGGAAGCAAGGTTCCATTTGGATGCCAGGAAGCACTTCCTGACAGTTGGGACCCCGAAGGTGTGGAATGGGCTTCCACGGGAGGTGGCTGAGGCCCCATTGGTGAGAGTGTTCAAGGATACGCTGGACGTGCACATGGTGGGCATGTCGTGAGGGGAGCCGGCTGGAGCTGGGGGTCAGACTAGATGGCCCAGGAGACCCCTTCTTACTCGCTCTGTTTCTATGTTTCTAAGTTCATATAACAATTAATAGGCCCTTTGCTGCACATTTCTCCTAGCACACACCTTTTGTATGCAATGTTGCATAATATACACAATTTGTAATGTTCTTTTCATGGACATATGTATTTTGTGTAGACATTATTCTCTACCATACATTGTTGTATGGATCAAACAAATGGAGAACTCCATTGTAAAATGTGGAGACTTGCAAATTTTGTAGGATAGCTGAAATTTGCTGTTTCTGGTTTGAAAATGGTAAATCAAGTATGTTCAATTTCTCCCACATCACTATCTAAGATGTATTGCCTTTTCTGAGGCTGCTGGAATGTGTAGCGGGAGCTCCCATGAACATTTGAAAAGAGAAAAAAAATTGTTTGTATATCACTCACTCAGTCTTCCAAGCATCCGTAAGTAAAGTGTATTTCTTTTTAAAGACGAGGGAGGAGATAAGATCTTGAAGATTAGAGTTAGCAGTTCTGTTTTTGTGATGATTCAACTACCTTGTGCTTATATCTAAATATAACCAGGCAAAGCAATTACCCCAAGAAAACTATAGACTCATGCAGTGAGGGAAAGTACACACAGCAAGTGAAAACCATGGCTCTGGGACCCATGCATTACATTCAGGATGAACCAGGTTTATTCCCTGCACCTCCTGGCAGAGAAAGAAGAAAGCCTTGGCTAAAACCTGGAGAGCTGCTAGCTTGACCAATGGTCCAACTCCATATAATGCAGCAGTCTACTTCCCTTCATTCTGTCTCTGCATGAGTGGGAGTGGGAGTCCAAGCTAGAGCATCAAATAAGTTACCAAGTGACATGAGCCAGGGGGTCCTCCCTTCACACACTCAAAGCCACAGCCCTTTTTTTGCAAAATGTTCTTTAATGGCCAATGTATTTTCCAGAAGCACAAACACCCAAAACGAATCTCTGAGCATGCACAAAATGGATTGTTGGACCAATCTAGTATTCATCTTCAAGAACACATGCCTGGACCCCATCCCTTCTGGAGGGGCCTTCTGAAATCGAGTACACCTCCTTTTTGTATGGCAACCCTCTAATTGGCCTACTCTCCTCTACCAACCTTACCTCCTGGGATGGAGAACCATATCCACCTCATCTGTCTCTGAGAATCTCCCCTGCTGATTTTGGTTGTTTGCAGAGGCTGCCTGCCTACCTGGAGAGCTTGGAGTTGAGATAAACATCTCAGCTTCTCTCATCTCAGCATCTGGAACCGGCCCACATTCTGAGACCCCTCCTGTTCCTCCTCCTCCTCTTCTGAATCCCAATCATCAGGTCTTGAGAATGCACACCAAGAACAACTGTCTTTCTCACTCCCAACACAAAGGAAAAGTTAATCAGTTGGACTTGCTGCCATCACAGAGAACTGCATGCCAAGCTCAGCACTAGTGGGCACAAGGGCAAATTTGGGGATTGGCGACTGCTTTAGCCATCCATCTCTCAGGTGAAAAGTAACGGACTCTCATGGGCTAATGACATGGACCACAAGGCTGTGTAGGTGAACACGGATCCCGCTGGGACATAACCCCCACTGGTTTTGCCACGGAGCTCTTAAACAAGCAATGGTATTTCCTGAGGCTATACAAGATGATTCTCTTCAGTCACTCTGGGAACCACCAGTATGAACGTACCTATCTCTACTGAAATCAGCAAAATATCAACCTTTGACATATGAACATTAAAAAAGCCCTCATGGATAAATCCATACATCAAATAGGCCTTTTCACTTCAAATCATTCAATCTCAGCGCAGGAAGCTCTCTGAGAGTATCTTGTCCAATCCAGTATGCCAAGGAGAATCTTGCCAGAACAGTATCCCTGTCAGAAGGCTCTCTAGCCCCTGTTTGGATGCCTCAGTGAAGACCATCTCAGCACCTCCCAAAGCAATCCATTGTAGGACTGATCTAATTAGCAAACTACTCTTTTTGCAGTCCCACCTAGTTCAGGTCCTGCCCTGTGCAGCAACAAACGAAGCCAACCCCATCTTCTGTGTGACAGCCCTTCAGAAGTTTGAAAACATCTGTCACATGTTCCCTGCATTTTCTCCAGGCTAAACATGTCACTTAACATCAACATTTTGGAACAATGTGACATCCTTTGAAGATTTCAGTTCATAGAGTATATTCTGTAGTATCTTCAACAGTTATAGAAGACTTGATCCTACATGAACTAATTGTATACCACTGGGCAAATAGAATTCCCAAAGATGAATTTTAGGCTAATTTTAGATTTTCGTCAGACCAATCCCTCATAATAGTCTTGGCTTGGAATCTGCAAATCCAGCCCCCAACTCTACCTCCACTCTTGGCAATGTGCCACCCAAGATCTTTTCCTTAATAGTTGCTTAAATTCCTGCAAAAGCTAAAGAAAATAAATCTCAGATATGCTGACTAACTGTTATAATCCTATACACACTAACCTGGGAGTAAACCCTACTAAACTCAGTGGGATTTACTTCTCAGTAGAATTTTATAGGGTTGAGCTATTAATAATGGTGGACTATCTTTCTCCAAAAAAAATGAGTTGAAAAAAGTTAAATGGAAGTAAGTGCTCAGTGGGGTAGAAAATTCAAGGAAGCATAGAGATGGGTCATACCTTCGCTTTGGAAGTCTGGGAACGTATCTGTTGGATCCTGTGCCACCGCTGACCTCCTATACACCACGTGAAGCCTTCCTCTCTCTTCATCCATTTGTTTCCCTTTCTCCAAAGGCTCAATGAAATATTCATCTTCACCTGTCTTTATCATGCCAGCCTAATCAGAGAGGAAAAAGGGAGAGGACAAAAAGCACGTGAAGAAACCCTTCTGGACTCAGTGCAGTTCGGTTCACTCAATGGTTAGCAAGTGTTTGCAGTGTAACTTCCTCGTTCCCTTCAAACGGCATTTTTGAGCTAATCGAGGGCACCCCAACTTTGTAGTAGAGAAACAAATTAGCATGTGTGTTCTTGCTTACATCCTAAGTAGTTAGGGTTGGGAATACTCAGAGTCATTTCATTTGAGCTCAGCTGACTGTTGGCATCTTTCCAACTCAATAGAAGAAAGCACGCTGAGTTAGGAAGGGGGAATCAGCAGCTTCTGTGAAAGTCCTCAAGCTGTTTGCAGAAATCGGCAGACAAGAACTAGGGTTTCTCTACCGACCATTGCAATTTGTGCAAATTGGGCCGACTCATTAGATTTTATTTATTTATTTATTTATTTATTAAAACATTTTTATGCCGCCCCATTCGCCGAAGCCTCGGGGCAGCTTACAACAATAAGTTAAAAAATAATTATAACATTAAATTAAAAAACATAAACATTAAATTACAAATACAAAATACCAATATAAAATAAGCTGCCCTGGCCAGATAAAATCCAATAATATTAACAATTAAAATGCTGCTTAAATAAAAAGGTCTTCGCCTGGCGCCGAAAAACAAATAACGACGGCGCCAGGAGGACCTCTCTGGGGAGCGCATTCCATAGATTGGGCGCCACCGCTGAGAAAGCCCTCCTCTGAGTAACCACCCTCCTAATTTCCTTCACTGAGGGCTCCAGGAGGAGGGCCTCTCCTGCAGATCTCAAGGGGCGGGTGGGCATTGTTGTTCCTCTAGATTTTCTCTAGCTTAATAATCATCAACCAGCCTTGCTTGAAAGGTTTTAGCACAAGAAGAATAGACTGCTCCAGTGAGTCCATCACTATTTTCTAAATCAGGGTCCTTGCATTAGATTTCCCTGTTTTTACTCCTTTGCATTATTCCCAATGCCATTATATAGCCCTGGGTGTGGCATGATATTCCTTTGGGAAATATTTCCCAAATTCGATTGATTATAAAACATAGCAACTTCCAGCAAGTTGCTCATTTCAGATTTACCTGTTTTGAGTTCTGTACTGCAATTGCACAAGTTAAGGCTTCATTTCACAGTTTGCACAAATCTATCTTGCATGATATGTTTCAAAATGTGGAAATCGTGGCCCATTTTTAAAGAGGAAGAGTAACTCATGGTAGGTCATGTTATTGCAGGGCTACTGGAATGGCATTCATAGGGCCAAACTGAGAAAGTTGATTAATTTTTCATCCCCGTTAGATTCCTTATGCATTCCTAAATCAGAGGCCTGTTTAGTGAAAGAAGCATTAGAGAAGGCTGGAGAAACCGAAAAGCATCTGCCCTTGGAATCTCAAATGCTGAGAATGAGGATAATTGTTTTTATACCAGGGAGGAGAAAGCTGGCCAGCTTGGGGAATCGTGGAACTTCATTTCAAGGGGCCACCCTTTACCCCTCCGCCTTAGGCAGCTTAGGTACATTCCTTGCTTTTGGCGATCCTGAGAGAGCTGTGCTCAGTTGGGCCAAGAAACCCCAACTTCAAGTTCAGGATGATGGGATCTGAGCTACCAGTGACTGAGCAAGACAGAGGTGGATCGCTTGAGGAAACTGGCAGCCCAACACTTAGCTGCTATGAAGAAGGCAGATGCCATGCTAGGCATAAGTAGGAATGGAACAGAAAACAGAGCTGTCGGAATCTTATTCCCCTTATGCAAATCTTTGGTGCGGCAGCACTTGGAATATTGCGATCAGTTCCGGTGGCCTTACCTAAAAAGGGCATTTACTGAATTGGAAAAAGGATAGAGATGGGCAAGTAAAATGGAGCAGCTCTCCTGTGAGTGGTTAAGACAACTGTGATGTCTGGCTTTGAAAAATGGCAAGGGGAGGGGTGTTTGAAATAATGCATGGTGTGGAAAAAGTAGTAAGGGAGGCACTTTTCTCCCTCTCCCAAAACACTCGAATCTGGGCTCCTGCCGTGAAGCTGCCTGATGGAAGGTTTGGGACAGATTGAAGGAAGCACTTCTTTGTGGGGTGTATAGGTAAAACGATGGGATTTCCTGGCATGTGGAGTGGCGGCGGCTGCCAGCCTGGATGGCTCTAAAAGGGGATGGGGCAGGTCCATGGCTGTGCGCTTCCTCCTTCACCCTAGGAGTGCCCGCACGCACCAGTTGCTGGGGAGGTTTGGCAGGAGGAGGTCTTGCACCCACCCTGCTTGGGGGATCCAGTGGGCAGCTGGTTTGCTTCCGTGTCTGCAGAGGGCTGGAGTAGATGGACCCCTGGGTCTGATCCAGCAAGGCTTTGCTGACGCTCTTGGGTTCTTAATTCACTGTTCATCTCCCTTTTGAGTTTCTTTCTTTCTTTCAAGCAAAGTAACCCCAGCTTACAATTGTTTGCTTAAAGGAAATGAATAAATAAATGCAATTAGCCTTTCTAACCTTTCTTGGCTCTTCAAAGGTACTTGCCAAGTAAGGTCTGGGACTTCAGCACCTCTTGGAATGCCTCTCCTGGACCATGTGATCTGCAAAAGGGCCCTCCTGCCTGCCGCCTCCAAGGGAAATCTGGAAAGAGGCAACAAGGAAGACATTCCCAGTTATGGAATTGTCTCCCTGACTGCTCTTGAGAAGGCCAGATCCTGAAGATGAAACTCAAATACTTTGGCCACCGAATGAGAAGGAAGGACTCCCTGGAGAAGAGCCTAATGCTGGGACAAATTGACAGGAAAAGAAGAAGGGGGCGGCAGAGGATGAGGTGGCTGGATGGAGTCACTGAAGCAGTTGGTGTGAGCTTGAGTGGACTCCGGGGGATGGTGGAGGACAGGAAGGCCAGGAGGAATGCTGTCCATGGGGTCGCGATGGGTCGGACATGACTTTGTGACTAGCAACAACAACAACAACTCCCAGCTGTGGCCTTCCAGGTGCCAACTTTGTCATCTTTTAAGCATCAGATTAAATTTGCCCTCCATACCCTGACATTTAATGGCATTTATTTGGTATGTGATGGGTTAGGCCTGCTGTTTTAACTGGGTCTAGTTCTAATGGGGTGAGTGTGTGTGTGTGTGTGTGTGTGTGTGTTTTTACTAGTATTTTAAATCTTTTTATGGAGTCGTCCCTGGCCATGCTGCCGCTTATGTTTCCTGGGGAGCGCACGGGTGCCGCCATTGAGGTGGTTATGGGCAGGGGACGTAACAGCGTTGGGAGCTTAACGTGTCCGCATAGAAGAAGGAGGGACAGATGGCTGACACCTGTCCCTACTTCTGGTTTTGCTCCCAGCCAGAGGGTGCCAGGGAGTCTCGTCAGTCGCCCCTCCAGCCTGACGGTGCTGTTGCTTAATGCCAGGTCGGTCAATAACAAATCTGCCCTCATCCAGGACCTGATTGTGGATGAGGGGGCCGACCTGGTCTGCATAACGGAGACCTGGGCGGGAGAGGGGGGGGATGTTGCCCTCTCCCAAGTGTGCCTGCCCGGGTATCTGGTCCAGCACTGCTCACGGCTGGAGGGGAGGGGAGGGGGGGTCGCTTTGGTATACCGAGCCTCCATCTCCCTCACGGGACTTCCGGTCCCTTCGAGACCAGGGCTGGAGTGTCTCTATTTGGTGTTGGGCGACCGAGACAGACTGGGGATTCTGTTGGTGTACCGCGCACCCTTCTGCCCAACAGTCTCCCTGCCTGAGCTGACGGAGACTGTCTCGGACCTGGTGTTGAGGACCCCCAGGATGTTGGTCCTGGGGGACTTCAATCTCCATGCCGAGGCTAGTCTGACCGGGGCGGCTCAGGACTTCATGGCCTCCATGACGGCCATGGGGCTGTCTCAACATGTCACCGGCCCCACCCATGAACGGGGACACACTCTGGACCTGGTTTTCTCGACGGGGCAGGAAGAGGGTGGTCTGAGGGTGAGTAATTTATGCTTGACTCCCCTGTCATGGTCAGATCACTTCCTGGTGAGATTTATGCTCGAGAGCGACTTCTCCCTCTGTAAGGGTGCGGACCCGATTATGTGGGTCCTCCCCCGGAGCCGGATGGATCCAGAAGGATTCCTGAAGGCCCTGGGGGAGTTTCCGGCTGACAAGACGGGTGCTCCTGTCGAGGCTCTGGTCGAACTGTGGAATGGGGAGATGACCAGGGCTGTAGACACGATCGCTCCTAAGCGTCCTCTCCCACCGGGCAGAGCCCGCTCTTCCCCTTGGTATACTCCTGAATTGAGGGCGATGAAGCAGGTTGGGAGACGACTAGAGCGTAGGTGGAGGAAATCACGAGATGAATCTGACCGAACACACTTAAGAGCCCACTATCGGGCCTATGCTGTGGCGGTGAGGGCGGCAAAAAAGAGATTCTTTTCCGCTTCCATTGCCTCCTCACAATGCCGTCCGGCGGAGCTCTTTCGAGTGGTGCAAGGCCTGGTCCGTCCAGGTCCAAAGGAAGACCTGATTCCACCCTCAAAGACCCGCTGTGACGACTTTGCCAGGCATTTCAGGGAGAAAATCGCTCAGATTCGTCACGAGCTGGACACCACTATTGATTCAGAGGTTTCAAAGGAGACACCAATGCTGCCGTCTGGTCCAGATTTATTGGATGAATTTCAGTTATTGCGGCCCGATGATGTGGACAAGGTGCTTGGGCGAGTACGTCCAACCACTTGCCTTTTGGACCCTTGCCCGTCTTGGTTAATAAAGGATTCCAAGCACGGGATTGGAACCTGGATCTTGGAAGTGGTTAACGCTTCTCTGAGGGAGGGTCGGGTGCCGGCCCCTTTGAAGGAGGCGGTAATACGACCGGTCCTGAAGAAGGCGTCACTGGATCCAGAGATGGCCACTAATTATAGACCAGTGGCCAACATCCCGTTTCTGGGCAAGGTGTTAGAACGAGTGGTGGCGGGACAACTCCAAGCACTCTTGGATGAAACTGATTATCTGGACCCATTGCAGTCCGGCTTCAGACCCGGGTACGGTA